CTAATTGTTTAGGTGCAATCGACGGCTAACATGTTGTCATACAATGGTTGAATGTTTTCACCTAGAACCTCAGTTCTTTTGGCTACTTTGTTCAAATGAGGCGACTTGATTTATAATCTATATCCCTCACTTGCAGCAAGTATCGACCTGAGGGATGGTTGAAATTATTTTTGTAATGGAGGAATAAAATGCCTTGATAATATTCATTTGAGGATTTTTCTCAGTAAAGTTTCCACACGCCTCTAATATAGAGATCTGCACTTAAGTAATAAATCTTCTTGCCAGAGTAGTGTAATTCTCAATGGAAATGATCTGATATGTTCATTGACACTACGCCTAAACTCATCAAATACTTGGTTGCTGATATTTTTGCCTCTTTTGTGTTTACTTTAATTTTTATACACGAGTCCATAAATATATAGTCATGATCTGAAAGATAAGTCATGTTCGTAATTATTGTTGCTTCTTTTATAATGATGACCATGCGAGTTTGTAACATCCGATAACCAGTCTTTATTAAATGATTCGCTCAAGATGTTAACATTATAATCGCGACCAAGTACGATTTACTTGGTAGGAATTGAGGTTAGAATTATATCTAGAATGTCATGAAAAGTGCAAAGTTTATAGAGTAGTTGGTAGAGCTGAGTCCCAAAAAGGTTGGGAGCTGGTGAACTTGAGATTCAGTTATCCCACATGCAGTGGCTTAAGTAGCTGCTTCCCTCCTCAATGTAATTGTTATAATTCTTGATGGATGTTTTAGTTTTGCCTGGTCTCTCAAGTGACGAATAACGTCAGCCACTCTATAGCATGACTCGACTGTGCCAGGGGTAGCAAATAAATATTGCTTATCTGGCAAAACTCCTGTACTTTAATAACAGGTCTACCATTGTCTCGATCTTGTTTGTCAGTAACGCCCGAACTTTCTTCCCATGTTTTCCGACGGGTTCCAACCTCCTGAACTGTTATACTAATTCCTGTTCGTTAGCAGGCGGACTTAAACACCCTTGCATGAATTTCTCCGAACTTCTTTTTTAATTATGTCTCATATTTTATGTGGAGCGTCTCCAGTTCGCTTTCGGTTAAAAACTATTAAGCTTACCAACGCAACCCTACATAACCTAGCGTACGTATTATAAATCTGGTTCTTGGTGAGTTCTTCAACAGCTTCCGATGACTCTGACTTGATGTAGCTATTAAACCGCTTCATATCTTCCGGGTCAGGAATTTCCGGTTCTCGATTGAGTTTTGAGCGATTAATCGTAGTTAACGAGTAGACGTACCAGCGATCGGGCAGAAATTGACCTTGAGATGATCTAGGTGTAGATAGGGTACTCTCAGCTGATCAGCCGATCGCAGCTGACCACGTGACGTCAGTAGGTGTTTACATTAAATAAATTATTAAATTATGGATAAAAAGTGTTGGCCTGACCGGGGTTCGAACCCGGTTCTTTTTATTGGTAGTCGGAGTCGTTACTATTTGAGTTACAACAGCAGTGTTATGGATATAGATTTTATATCGGTAAATGACACCTTAACTTACAGGGTGTGTATTAGAGGTTTGATTTTAACATGGTTTAATGCTAACCAATTATTTAGAGGTTCACGGGTTTGAATCTAACCTAACATAAAATATATCATTTCCGGTTATCGGGTTTAATCCTAACCTATGCTAGAGGTTCACGGGTTCGAATCTAACCTAACATAAAATATATCATTTCCGGTTATTGGGTTCAATCCTAACCTATGTTAGAGGTTCACGGGTTTGAATCTAACCTAACATAAAATATATCATTTCTGGTTATCGGGTTCAATCCTAACCTATGCTAGAGGTTTAATGCTAACTAACCACAAAACATATCATTGGAGGTTTATGGGTTCGACTCTAACCTAACATAAAATATATCATTTCCGGTTATCGGGTTCAATTCTTACCTATGCTAGAGGTTTATGGGTTCGACTTTATCCAACCACTAATGGTATTGTATTATAGTGAGAGGTTTATGGGTTTAATTCTAACCTATGCTAGAGGTTTACGGGTTCGAATTTAACCTAACATAAAATATATCATTTCTGGTTATCGGGTTCAAGCCTAACCTATGCTAGAGGTTTAATGCTAACTAACCACAAAACCTATCATTAGAGGTTCACGGATTCGAATCTAATCAATTACAAATTATGTTATTAGAGGTTTATGGGTTCAATCCTAGATGTAATCTAACTACAGCTGTTTATTTCAGCTGTAGACGTCACCTGGTTTAGAGGTTCATGGGTTCAACTCTATTTAATCACAAAACATGTTATTAGAGGTTCAATCCTTTGTAAAAAAACATTTTATATTATATATATATATATGCTGTAGTGTATAATAAATGTGAAACAAATGATAATTTAATGTTAAAAACAGCTGAAAGAGGGATTAAGTTTACCATTAAAAACCATCAAATATAATATGTTAAACTATTGATTTTAATTCATGCTAAATGAGTTACTTTGGGTTGGGCTGTTTTGGTATAGTGTTGTATTGTAGTGGGAGTAGTGTGAGTCCTAGAGGTTTATGGGTTTGACTCTTACCAAACACCAAATGTGCTATTTATGGTGATATGTTGATTTTTGGTATTGTATATAAGTCCAGAAGGTTCACGGGTTTGATCACGTGATCTCTTGTATATGTAACATAACCTCACTTTCAACCTAAACAAGTCTATTAATTTATTACTCTGAGTTGATGGTATTAGTTTACAAATTCTCTACTAGGTTGCAGCACCAATGTTGCCAACTACTGATTATATTGTATATGTAACATAACCTCACTTTTTACCTAAACATGTTTATAATACAGAAGCCCTAGTGTTGACAGTATGTTACTCTGAGATGAGGTATTAGTTTATAAATTATCCACTAGGTAGCAGCACCAATGCTGCCAACTATTGTTAGCCGATTATATAACTTTGTATATGTAACATAACCTCACTTTTTACTTAATAATTTATTATTAAGTGTTGATGGTATTAGTTTACAAATTCTCTACTAGGTTGCAGCACTAGTGCTGCTAACTACAAGTCAGGCATTTTTGTAACATAACCTCTGTTTTCCTACTAAGTTTATAATAATAAATGTATAATATATGCTTGATTTATTATAATAAATTATACTAATGTTCTGTGGTATTAGGTAGCTGTAGCTGTGTTTTACCAACTACTGATTATATTGTATATGATATAACCTCTGTTTTGTGTTATCTGTTTTTTATCAACTGTTCCTACTAATCGTTTTTTATCAATGGAATGTTTTTATGATATAATCTAAGTTGGGGGAATTAATAAAAACATCTGTGAAAGCTAAATATGGATTTATATTCTAACTAACTTATATTATATTTACATAAACATATTACTAAATACTTAAATATATAAACTTATAACTAAATACTTAAAGTTAGTAGAGGAGGAGGAGAGGGGCAGCTATCTGAAACAAACAATAAATATAATTAGTATATAATACTTATATAGTATAAAATATTAAATATAACGTTTACATTTTATGTGGTATTGCATCATCCAAAATAGCAACTATCACTTCCTGTGTACCATATCACAACCGGATAACCACCTTTGATAACCACTTTTGTGGTATTGCATCATCTAAAACAACAGCTATCACTTCCTCTTGTGTACCACGTCACCTTTGATAAACACATTTGTGGTTATCCTTGTCCCTATATAAACCCTTATCGCAACCCTGCCATTATTGCATCACTTTGCTCCCAGTGTTTCAAGATGACGGATGTAAGTAACTCTGCTCCAGTAGATTCCAATGAATCTGTTGATAGTAATGAACCTGTAAATGTTGTAGAAGATTCTGTTGAAGTAATTGTCCCTGTAAATATTCTAGATAAACATGAAAATTATGTAAAGAGATTTCGCATTCATGGAATTAATACTGTTTTTAAGTTTTCTAACCCCCCACCAGAAACTAGTGAGATTGATTGGCTAAGACAAGGGTTTGGTCAAATTGTAAATGAAATGAAAGAAGTTTGTCAGGAGGGCGATCAATTGGGATTTACTTTGCGTTCACTTAACCTAAAAAGTAAAGAGCCGGGGTTTGTTGCTTTTCGCCCAGCAAATGAAGTTAACGAGGATGTTTTGTGGCAAATCTTTGGGGGAATTGTACAAAGTAACGCTGAATCTATCAAGTCCACAGATACGTTTCAAGTCGAATGTAACCGAGTTAATCTCCCTGTAGGTTTAGGGTGCCGCAAAAGACCAGGCCTGTACAACACCTTTGACGAAGAATGTAAAGCTAGGACAGGGATTGTTGTAATTAATAATAAAGATAACTTGTGTCTTCCACGTGCTATTGTAGAGGCTATAGCTAATGTAACTAAAGATCCTGAATACAAAGCTGTGAGACAAGATGATAGAAAAAGACAGACTGTTAGGGCTCAAGAACTTGTACGTAGAGCTAGAGTCGTGATGCCTGAGGGTGGTGCAGGCATTCCCGAACTTGAAAAATTCCAACATCTGCTTAAAGATTATAAAATCACTGTGTACAACTATAATGCTAAAGGACGTGATGTTTACTTTGAGGGAAATGTAGAGAACCCAAAGTTCAAAATTATCTTGTTGTTTTATAACCGGCACTATAATGTAATTACTAGTCTGACAGCCGCTTTTGTATGCAACCATTTTTGTGATGCCTGCCATGTCCCGTATGATCACAAAGGTGAGCATCGTTGCTCAAACATTTGTCCCTGTTGTCAAACCATCTCACCCCCTTGTGTAGAGGTGTATGGGGGAATCTTGTGTCTTAAATGCAATCTAACTTATAAAAACCAACGCTGTTTTATCGCGCATCAAGCCGATAGGTGTAAACATGTAAAGAAATGTCTTGTTTGTGGGAAACTAGTTTTGCTTAAAGAGAGGTCCAAGCCCCACAAATGTGGGGAAGTATTCTGTAAACCTTGTGGAGAATATAAAGATCCCAACCATAAATGTTACATGAAACCCAACGAGGGTAAACCTAAATCTAAAGACTATGCTTTTATTTTTTTTGACTTGGAAACCCGTCAGGATGAGCCCCTGCTCTCTGACCCTGAAAGTAAATTACATAAAGTAAACTTGTGTGTGGCCCAGCAATTTTGTTACCAGTGTATTGAGGGGAAATTCTGTATAGCATGTAAAAATCGTACACGTGTGTTTGACTCTGACCCTATTAATCAGTTTATGAACTATGTCATGTATGTGAGGAAACAGTTCAAAAATGTCTGTGTAATTGCACACAATGGGCAGGGATTCGACTTTCAATTTCTGCTAAAGTACCTGTTGGAAGAAACAAAATTCACACCGGAACTTGTAATGCGGGGAACTAAAATCATCCTAATGGAAATTGACAATGTGAGGGTTGTTGACTCACTTAGCTACTTCCCTATGGCTCTGTCTGCTCTACCTAAAGCTTTTGACCTACCTCCAGAGAAAAAGAAAGGCTATTTCCCCCACCTGTTTAACACTCTGGCAAACCAAGACTATGTAGGCCCTATGCCAGACAAAAAGTACTACTGTCCCGAATCTATGTTTGAGAAATCTTATAATGACTTTGAAAAATGGTACAGTGACCAGGTCATTAGTAACTACGAGTTCAACTTCAAAAATGAGATCCTAGCCTACTGTATTTCAGATGTTGATATCTTGGCTCAAGCCTGTCTACAGTTTCGCTCAATTTTCCTAAAAGAGTGTAATGTTGATCCGTTTCTCGAGGCTGTTACCATTGCGAGTGCTTGTAATCTAGCTTTCCGCCGTAATTTCCTGAAACCCAATACTATCGGACTTATCCCTAAAAACGGCTATCGATTAGTGGACAATCAATCAAATATAGCGCTCCAGTGGCTTTCTTGGGTCGAGGAAACCAACGGGATTAGGATCGATCATGCCGGACGAGGTAAAGAAGTTAAAGTCAATGGAATGAAAGTAGACGGGTTCGATGGCAGAAACATCTACGAATTTCATGGCTGTTATTTCCATGGGTGTCCTAAATGCTTTCCTTACAACCGTCACGCTCCTTTGAAAGAGGACCCTTCTGATAGCCTACATCTTCGCTATGAGCGAACTAAGGCTAAAAACACAAAGTTTACAGAACACGCATTAGTAGAGATGTGGGAATGCGAATTTCGTAAACAAAAAAAGGATCAGCAGCTTAAATATCTAGATAGTTTGCCTATCTTGAACAATCTCCCACTTGATCCGAGGCAGGCTTTTTTTGGAGGTAGGACAGGTAATGCAAAATCTTACTACAAATGCGCTGAGGGGGAAACTATACAGTATGTAGATGTTTGTTCCCTATACCCTTATGTTTGTAAGTATGGGAAGTACCCTATAGGTCACCCAACCATCTATGTAGGAGACAAGGAGTGTCGTGAAAGAGGTATGGGTGTAGAGGGTTTGTTAAAATGTAAAGTATTGCCACCTCGTGATCTCTACCACCCTGTACTCCCTACAAAACTGAATGATAAATTGATGTTTGTGTTGTGCAGAACATGTGGGGAAATTATGTATCAGGGAGAATGTAATCATGATAGTGATAATAGAGCATTAGTTGGGACTTGGACTATGGACGAGGTTAGAAAGGCAGTAGAGAAAGGGTACATTGTATTGGACATGTATGAGTTGTGGGAGTACCAGGTAGCGACTTATGAAAATGGGGGTTTGTTCACCGATTTTATTAATAAATTTCTTAAGATGAAACAGGAAGCTTCGGGCTATCCGGAATGGTGCAAAACTGAGGAGGACAAAAATAAGTATATTGCAGAGTATTTGGGACATGAGGGAATTAAGCTGGAAAAAGAAAAGATTGTTAAGAATGGGGGTTTGAGATCTTTGGCAAAATTAATGCTAAATAGTTTTTGGGGAAAATTTGGTCAGAGGGAAAATCAAACTAAGGCTACAATTGTTAAGGATCCTAAAACATTATTTCAAATGCTCTCTAGCCCCGAAATTAAAGTAAACAGAATTCAGATTGTTAATGATGAGGTGGTTGTGTCATGGGAATATTTGGAGGAGGTAGGTGAACCTCTTAGTAACATAAACGTTTGTATCGCGGCCTACACTACCTCACAGGCGAGACTCAAGCTCTATGAACATCTTGAAGCCCTAGGAGCTCAAGTATTATATTATGACACAGACAGTGTTATATTCTACCACCGCCAAGGCCTGTATAGCGTTCCTACGGGAGATTACCTCGGTGAAATGACTGATGAATTAGTGGATTACGGACCCGGATCTTACATTACTGAACTTGTCTCTGGGGGGCCTAAAACTTATGCGTACCTTGTCTGGTCAACCAATCAACAAAAATTGATCCCTATATGTAAAATCAAGGGCCTCACCCTTAACTTTAAAACATCAAAAATTGTAAATTTTGAAAAATTAAAAGAGATGGTTTTGAGTGAAGCAAAACAGTCTGTTGAAATTGAGGAAAGTAGAATCAGAAGGACTAGAGACAGAGACATCGTCACCATCACTGAGAGCAAAGTGTTTAAAATAACTGGTCCTAAAAGAAGGTTCGAAGGTCAATACGACACTCTACCTTTTGGCTACAGAAAAGTCCAAAGGAATATGTAAATTGTATTGTAAATTGTAAATGTAAATAACTTTGTAAATGTAATTGTAAATTTAACTGTACATAACTCTCCTAGTAAAAAAAAAAAAAAAAACAAGTCTATAGATAAATACTTATGTAATTCAACCAAAGTGTAATGAGTCCATAAGACCAAAGTATAATGAAATATGCTTCAAGTGTAATTGTCTGTGTACTGTCACCTACTCAAAAAAGGCCGAGCTTAGCCGTTGTAAGTCCTAGAGCGGATGCTGGGTTAGTGTAAAAGCTATAAAACGATGGTTTTCCTATGATGGGCACAAAACCTAGTAAACTGAGTAGCTCAGATTTAGAAGAACCTGTGCTACTCCTTGGAACGGTTTACTGTACTGTCACCTGCTCAAAGGCAGAGTTAAGCTAAAGTAAGTCCTAGAGTAGACGCATGGGTTAGTGTAAAAGCTATAAAACGATGGTTTTCCTATGATGGGCACAGACCATAAATGTTAATAACTTTTGGCTGAGTTACATAACAAAATCTATATACTTGACAAAAAAAAAGCTTTGTAAAGTAAGGGAGAGGGTATTATACGGTATCTACCAGGTAATCTGGATTGGCTGTATAATGCTTAACCTGGCCTCACCTAGTGAGGGGATAGTCTCAAACCCTATCCAATACAAAGTTATATCATATGTAACCGGTGTTAATATATATCATTTCCACAATGAAAGAACTATACTAGATGTAACAGATCTAAATTACTCGTTAAGCCCCCTATAGTATACCACATAAATATTAACTTGACCGGAAATTAGAAGATTTGAACCCGCAACCCCAGTTTTATATACAAACATAACACTACTATACAACACTAAAAATCAATCCAACTGGATACAATACAAACGGTGGCTAGTAAGGATCGAACCCGCAAACCTCTTAGAACAAGGACTCACACTACGATATAATACCATACTAAAAACACCCCAACCAGAAATGAAACATTTAGTGATTAGTAAGATTCGGACCCTCGAACCTCTAGGATCAAACAAGAGACTACAGCATAACATCATACAAAAAAAACACCCCAACCGGAAATTATTGGTGATTGGTAAGGATCGAACCCGTAAACCTCTGAGATCAAGGACTCCCACTACGATATAAAACTATACTAAAATCAACATATCACCCCGACCAGAAATAAAACATTTGGTATGGATTGAACCCGTGAACCTCTGAGATCAAGGACTCCCACTACGATATAAAACTATACTAAAATCAACATATCACCCCAACCAGAAATAAAACGTTTGGTATGGATTGAACCCGTGAACATCTGAGATCAAGGACTCACACTACGATACAATACCATACTAAAAACACCCCAACTAGAAATTATCGGTGATTGGCAAGGATCGAACCCGTAAACCTCTGAGATCAAGGACTTACACTATGATACAATACCATACTAAAACACCTCAACCAGAAATGATCGGTGATTGGTAAGAATCGAACCCGTAAACCTCTGAGATCAAGGATCACACTACAATACAATACCATACTAAAAACACCCCAACCGGAAATGATCGGTGATTGGTAAGGATCGAACCCGTAAACCTCTGAGATCAAAGATCACACTACAATACAATACCATACTAAAAACACCTCAACCGGAAATGATCGGTGATTGGTAGGGATCGAACCCCTAAACCTCTGAGATCAAGGACTCATACTACTCTCACTGTGATATAAAACTATACCAAAACTCGAAATATTACTCTGATGAAATGAAACTCATAGTGATTGGAAAGAATTGATAAGGTAGTCTAGAGAAACAAGCGGGCAAGTAAAATTTAAAAAGCTACGTCTCAAACCACAAATGTTACATGAAAGATGACACTATTTAAGACACAACCAACAAGTAGGTCTTATAAAGGAATGTGATTTTATGTTAAAAATAAATACATGTTATTAGGATATTAAATTCTAAAGATGCTCTTGGAATAGTTTAAAATCGTTAAAACATCAAATTTTATCCTATGTGATTATGTATTAAAAACTATTTTTACGATAATTTCTATCTATTGTAATATGATACCACCACTTTGCAAACTCTGCGCTATTTCGTAAAGTTTCTCTTGAAATTTACAATTTATGAAATACTCATATGTTTGGATATCTATGAAGTAATGAACATCTGTTTGGATGGATTTATTTTTTTGTCACTTATATCTTTACATTAAATGCTGTTTACACATAATCGTTACCAAACATGTTTTGTAAGTACACCCAAATGAGATTAAAAAACGTTTTTCCTTACGTTTAATTAATCATAAGGGTAATAACGTGTAACTAGAAATGAAATTTCTATGCATTATTTGGGTTGCCAATTGGAGATTCTGTGTTTATCAAATTGTACTTAAGCTTAACCAGAAAACAGAGTTTAGCCTACATATCCGGAAAAATACACACTAAAATGCAAAAGAAATACTGTTCCGATTATAAGAAGATCAACATGATTAAATCCATACACAGCTATTTGTACATAAAAATGAAGATAATTGAATATTTTAGGAAGAGAGAGAGCTCAATTAGTTTGCATCCAAAAGGAATGCATGCTGCTTAATGAGTATGGTCACAGAGATTACACTAAAAGAGACCATTCAAACAATTCAATGTAATTCCAGTACTAAGAACCTTCATTTAAATAAAAAGCTCGACCCAAGAGCTATGTCAATCCCTATAATACAAACATTCACTAATCTGAACGGCCCACAATACAGTAGTTCTTTCCAGGCTGTATGTATATATGCATCATAATTGTTAATAACCAAATATTAGAGTGTTATTTATACCAACTATAAAAATACTACATACATCATAGAATGTTTTGTCAGTGTAGAAGGTTTGAATGTGTTTGGCGGTCATTAGATACTGCTATCTCATTTCCTGTAGATACTGTTGTACAGTCCTTAAATTACATCACTTTTTTGCTCTGTATTTGAACATGTTTTCTAAGTCAAATATTTATACAAGTATTGGTAGTTAATTTATAAACCTACATTTAAATTACCGATCACCAATCACATATTACTGTAGTACAACGATGATAGCTATAGATTTCCTAGCAAAACAGTATGTGTATAATCATATGTGAGTTCATACAGTCATACCCCACGGTCACGAAAATGGTTCATTGAAAAGTATTAATAAAGTAGTCTCGCGAAAACGTCATCATAGCCTTCGGTGGCCAACCTTTGGAGACATGTTTTTATTGATTAAATTCCAGCTATCAGGCATTTTCAATAACCCTATATCTATCCTGAATCTGGTAAAAATATGTTTGTATCAGCCAAGAACCCAAAAATTAAATACCAAATTCTATTTATTTATGTAAATTTTCTAAGCTACAATTAATAGTTTATTCCAGGTTTTAATAGGTGGGCTTTTAACCCGTCTACCATAATAGTTGTGAAGACTAAACATGTTTTCTTACCCAAATGTTCCATATTGCTCCTAGCTATAAATGTAATGCAATACCTATTGTCTACGACTCTTTTAAGTTGGCACTGTGTTGAAAAAAAAACTTAATGTTAAGTAATAGTTTTAATGGAGATGTCTTTTAGATTGACATAAAATAGATACACTTGAAGTTCTAAGCTCGTTTTACTGTTATCAAGGTTCAACATACTTTGAATAAATAAAAAAGCCTCTTTTATGACAAAAAACTACTGATATTCAACTTATACTCTAAATATGTAAAAACTGCTAATCAACTAAATTACCTGACACTCTAATGACCAAACTACATCCACGATACGTGTGACTACGTAATAATTGTATGATAAGACCTCAATTACTCTAAGTCAGATATACCTTCCAGTTTAGTGTTTCTGGTTCGTACTTATGTTTGTCATGACTAATGGTATAATTACTGTGTATGCTTAAATTCAAAGACATATGATCTCTATGTATTGAAATAATAAAGAATTCATTTATTCATTCATACCATACATTTAACACCAAAAACAATAGTGTTTATCACTATTGGGGTGTAGTTATGCTTATTATAGTTCTTGATTCAACCTAACCCTACACTCATCTCTAAAAACCTACATTTGTATGGTCGCCGTTCCAACATAATATCACTAGAAAAGTACAAAGTTACTGTGAAATATCATACTTTACTTATAACTTGAAAGTGACAAGAACGCTGTACTGCTTTGAGTCTGTTTTGCGTAGGTTTTATTCAGGCTTATTAACGTAGCCGCTGCTTTCTAAGAAACCCCAGCATTTCCGCTCTCATGCTCGGCGATGAGAAAAATATACTAAACTCTACAGAACGTTACAGTAAATAAATATCCTATCTCATAACAGAATTGTTGCTTATGTACTTGATTTCAACATTAAGCTCTGTACTGTATTATGATGGAACTGCAGTTTATTAGACAGCTGACGGCACAAATGAGATACCAAGTGTAGGAGAAAACAACTTTCAAAAACATAGAAAGTTTGATGGCGGAAAAAAACAAAATCAATTTTAACAGTGTGATTAATTTTTCCTAATTTGCAAATAATCCAATTCTAAGCTATTTTGTCAAAGTTTCCCTTAATAATTTCACTAAACATTTTAATCTAGTTACAGTACACGCAATAAAAGGACCAGTAATTATTTTTATCCAAACAAAAGATCCACTGCTTATATTTACATTGTGTCTTATAACCAATGGTTTGCATTTTCCTGATTAAAGGTTGTCTGTTATACAAGAGCTAACACTTAAGGATGATATTTAAAATTATCAGTACTAGAGATAGATTTTTACTGTATGCAGTTTATATTCAAACAAGTTACTACAAAAAACTGTAAGAAAATTATTTGTATTGCATAATGCCAATACATATATCATTTTGCCGTACTCCAGTCAGTTAAATGATTGTATGAATAATGCTTTACTTTTTTAATTTTCTTAGCTATTAAAATGTTGATACATGTTGTCTAAAAATACATTTTAACATTAGTTTGTACGGAAT